TCGAAGTTGATAAACTAGCAATTCCGCTGAAGCCATACTGTCGGATAATGAATGTCGCTCAAGATAAATCTAATCAATAGAAAATTAAACTTAGGACAGTAGCAATAAACATGCATTATTTTGCCCCGATTGCATAGTAGCACTAAGTGAAACGATCGCAGGGGAGAGATGGACCAAGTGGTTAGAGCGCGAATTTACTGACCGAAAAGTCTGTGGTTCGAACTCGATCACTGCCTCTCGACTTCCTCTGTCTAGACTTGGGAAACCTGGCAGTATCCCAGCCCGCGTGTGGCATGGCAGCTAGCCACCAAAAAGGTGCTAAAGCTGACGAAGACGATCGTGAGCGAAGCCCTCTAAGAGTAGGTGCCTTTTGGGAGTTGCTAACTCCATTCAGTTCGGTCACATCTGCTTGTAATGCAGGTACCTATCGTACGTTTATACACGGCTGCATTGAAAATGTCCTCAAACTAAGCTAACTCTATCCCAATTTGTCCCTGTTAGGCGAAATAATCAGAACTACCCCAGATTTCCTATGTAACCCCTGGGATATCCAACCAATTGTGTCCAATTTTGATACCTGGATTAAAGAGCTTACTCGAAGGTACAACTGGCTCCCAAATTTGAAAGGTTAAAAATTTTGGGAACACCAACATGCTCATCGGTGGTAAGTAAGTCCGAGCCCGCTTACCACCAAAATAACTTGAGTTATCAGTGCTAACTATCATGCTTTCTCGCACCCTAACGCCATTTTTCCTAGAATCAATTAGGCCATAGTTAGAACTACTTTGGTGGGGGTCCGCGTCCAAGTTTAATTTTCCTCAGCCTTCCGTATACTTGACCGGCTGAGTTGAGAATAGTGGTGACACTATAACGGACCAGAAATACATCACACCAATAGTTGGAGGTGCTTACCAACAAAACTGTCAAGCAAACACTTGCGCCGTCGTCCTTATTCTCCTGCTCTTAATCATTACCCCATTATGTATGTCCGCCTTTGTCTCTGCACCTCATTTACCCCAAACTATCCGCTTCAAAAAGCTGCGGCGACCCAAACCACTGTACACAGTTCTAGTTTGTCAAACCAGAATGAACCGAATTATGAGTACGGTCGTCATTTCCTCTCTCAAAGAACGGATGCACATCGACCGACTACAACATGCTGCGGATATCCTAGTAAATAAGCTTTCAAAACTCAGAAACACGTGTTACAGTGACAAGTAGTTGTCTCTGTTCTTAAGTTTCAAAGCAAACCCAGCTTCAACAACAAAACTTAACACCTAGGTTCTGCCTGCTGATCATCGGTCACAGCAGTACACCAGTGCGTTGGTAAGGCATTGGTTTCCAAACTGTTTGGTCTATGTAACGTATCTGTTAGGAAACCAGTGTAAACCCATCAAAAAATTTACCGAAAATGTCCAGCGCCTGAAGAAAACTTGGACATAGGATTCTACCATTTTTGGATAACCTCAAACAACCCCAAGATTGGATAAGCTTGTCAACTTGTCGAACTCTGATTGCATAGATTGCGGTGGAGCGCACTCTTACTTCACTTTTGATTTTTCGCCGTCGTTGGTTAACAGGTTGTTGGGTTACGCGGTGCAATCTAAA